AAACCTCATTTAACCGGTATTAAGACCAGTTAAAAAATGAAGGTAATGTAAAAAGACACCACCGCCACTAGAACTTTGAAGCTGAAGCTTGAAGTTCCATGTTTGACTCGCAACTCGAAAGAATTAAATAATATAAAAGAAAGATTTGCCTTGTTAGTAACTCTCAACATTGGCAAGTTCCCACAAATGTTTAGTAATAAATTCGATAAATAACAGAGTTTTATTCGTGTTGCAAATATATTCAGTAGACTCTGTCGAAAATTATAATCTATTTCAGCATTGAAATTTATATAGATTTTTGATGTTTAGTATTTTTTACTTCAATTAAATTCTGCAAAACTGCACGCTTTGAGGCGATAATTTTAGGAATCTTTATTTTCAGTTTTAAGTAGCAGTTTCCCATTCTTATGTCAGAATGCACTGATTAGCTTCCTTGGATATATCACTTGCTTGGATGGATGCCTCAGACAAGTAACTTTGATTCCTTGTAGCCTATACACCAAAATGAAGCTAATTACTACTATCGGAAACGTTAGCGGAAAATGATAAAGACACAGAAATAATTTCAATAATATCTGTTGTAGAAAAGGTAGCCGTCCTTGTCTAGTGAATGACACTTTCACTTCTGAAGTCATGACCACTGGGTCTGTGTCTTAGTGGGAACACCATCACTCCCCAAGCAGCAAGTACATCTAATTGACAAGCCCCAAGCAAGACTCAACATACGTCCTGGATTCCACTGGTAGTCATCACAAAACAAATATCTTTTTTAAGAGTATATTTGATTTACTAGTGTTTTTTGCAATTACACTGAAAAAAATGTTCAGTGACCTTAGTTATAAATAGCAATTAAAACGAAACTATCTTTGGCCTAACACTTTATAACAAAACACTCCGGAAGTAAGAGATAAAGGTGACAGCTCTAGAAAATTCCTAATCATTAGTAAGTAGTAAAGTAAAACGGCTAAGAATAATGCAGCTTGAATTTTGTGACCAAGAGCATAAGATCAACCAAATGGACACCAATATCCAGCTTCAAAACAAGCTTCTGCAAACAAAAGAGTTGATTCCATCACTAGACGATGAACTCGCTAGATTTCAAACCACACTAGTCAACACCTATCGGCGGTATAAAAATGGTAGTTATTCTGGCGAAAGCTTACCAAATAATCAACAATGAAGAGATTTGAAAAAGTTAAGAAATGATGAAGACATTATAATTAGTAGACCAGATAAAAGGGTCGGAGTGGTACTGATGATTAAAAGTGAGTATGTTGACGAAACGAATTCGCTTCTAAGCAATGAAATGAAATTCTAAAAACCTAACAACTCAGCATATTCAGATGTAAAGGGTGAAAAGCAGCTAACAAATACGCGCAATGAACTGGGGAGAAATGATGTAATATCTGAGGTAGCCTATAAATCTCTGAAACCTACTCGAAGTAATACTTTTCAATTGTGTAGTTTGCCTAAATTATATGGACTAGGACTTCCTCTTCTCCCAGTTCCAGACATGTCTAATTTCACGTACGACGAAGTGGCAAAATAGCTAGTTGGACTCTTGCAGTGGTTACACAAAAGGTGGTACATCATTGTGTTAAAGACGTATTTGAATTCCTTTCTAACTTACACGATGTCCGTGTGAATGGGAAGCAAATACTATCCTTAAATGTCACATCATTATTCACCAATGTAACAGTTATGGACACTAGAATTCATATGTCAACAAATACTAGAAAAGCAGTTCGATATCGAAATTCCACTTATTAGTCTCAAAAGGCTGCTTCTAAGATGTACTCGAATTTACATTTCACGTTTAACAACGTTTATTGCAGACAGATCGATGGTATTGCCAAACGTTCTCCATTAGGTCCATTTCTCCAGATTTCTTTTTCGCTAAGCACAAAAATAGGTCACTGAAATATGCAGTAGATAAAATGGATTCTTATTTTCGTTATGTTGATAATACTTTTATTATTCTTGATGAGAATGCCGACAAGAACAAAATGCACACCCATCTCTCATGTTCTTTTGTGAAGAAAAACATGGTGGTAGTTTACATTTCTTTGATGTCCAGTTGAGCAGAAGAGAGGATGGTTAACCCAAGAGAAGTGTCTATAGAAAAACCACATCAATAGGACAATATACACATTCCTTCAGTTTCGCACTTATATGATATGAAATCAATTTGATCAGATGCCTGACGAATAGAACAAGAAGGAATTGTACCAATGAATCCCTAGAAAATGAATTAAGATACATCAAGAATGTGATTGTGCAAATGGGTTATCCCGGTAGAATTGTAAGCAAACACATGGATAATGTGTATAGAAATGGGGAACTAACCACGGTTAAGCAGAAATAATTGTTTCTGAAGCTGCAATTGAATGACGACGTTACTGGTGAAGTTCCTACATTTAAGATTATCTAGACCCTTAAAATGGATTCATACTTCTTCCACACGTTGTCCGTAATTTTCCAGTCCATCAGATTTGATGGCTCAAAAGAAAGATAAACTGCCTACCTGTGCCACTTTTATGTACATTTATAAGTTGTGTCGCTCCTGTGGGCGAATCTATATAGGACGAACAACTAAACAGCTCAACAAATGCATTACTGAGCATCTTCCTTCATGGTTTGAAAAAGGCCAAAATAATCTATAAGACGCTTTGTTTTGTCTCATCTGACTGTTAGTGACCACCAAGATGACAGAAGTACCTTCCTTTTACACATAGCCAAAGCTATGGGAATTCGGTTAAACAAACCTAGTCTTTGTATACTAAAGAAGATTTTTCTCGCCCTTGGCCCAGATAAATTCTAAATTAAAACTTCCTACCCTTTCTTATTCTTCATTTCTTTTCTATTCATATGGTATTTATATAAATTCTGATTATCTGTCCACTTCGTCTTTAGCATTACGCAACTTGTGAGATTTGAACTTATTTATTTATTTTTGAGTTAGGCCACGGATTGATATCAGTTAGAGAAGCACTGGGACCCAGTGGCTGAATGGCCCATGAGCTCGCCTTGTAACTGTAAGGTCCAAGGTTTGAAACCCAGTGGGTGAGTACTGCCGATGAGTCCCAAGCTAGGACGAAACAGCTGGCTGTCGAGTACTGCGATGCTGGTTTTCAACGATTCTCTAACTGATATCAATCCGTGGTCTAACTCGTAAAACAAATGAAATCCTTACAAATCAACTCTCGAGAACTAATTCATTTATTGAATTATCTACATAATCATAACTGCTTCATCATTTTTATTGTCAACTGCATTAGCTTCTTGTACTTTGGTATCATCTAACTTATAGATATGATTAACTGGTAATGTTTCGAGCAATAATTTGTATTCGAAACGTCACCAATTAATATTACTGTACAACACTGTATGATTTATCGAAATAAAATCTTATGTATAATGGAGTTATACTCTACCATAGTGCCCAAGTTTTATACTTATATCATCTAACTTACCATTATTTCTGCTAGTATTACAATCGCTATTATTACTGACATTCAAAACATTGAACACATTATTTTTAGTCCATAAACTCACCATCACTGCTTAAATTTTTATATATAAAGCGATGTCCACCAGAGTAAAGCCTGAGGAAGATCTAATTGAAAACAGTAATACTGTTCGCAAATATGTCTTGTTTTAATTTTAAGAATGAGAATATTTAATGATAAAAATATAATGCATCTGTAAAGTAAATAACTTACACCGGTCAAATATGAAATAAGCAAAATGTACAGCTAGATCTTATAACCTTATGTAAAAATGAAATGCTACAAATACAGATTCTAATAATCTTTTTCTTTTCAATGTTTGGACATTTATGCTGTTGTTTATCAATCAGATACCCAAATAAAAAGAATAAAACAAAATACTGATCTCTAGCTTTATATATATATACAACTGAAACATCCTTACTTTTATCTGTTGTATCTTTGTGTTTTCTAGCAAACTGCTTCGAGCAATCGACTCATCAGTTGTAAATATTAATGAAATACATTTTAGTCATACTGAAGTAGTGATGACATATAAAATGGAAATAAATAAACAAATAAATATTATGAGATTAGAAATCTTTTATTCGTTTATGAAAAAAAGTATTGAGACATATTGGGCGAGAGAGAGTGTGTATGTAAAGGAGGAGGAGTAGCAATGATGAACAATACACAGAAAAAAAAGAAACGTTGGTTGGTCTCATATTTTTATTTCCTTGTTATTCATAGTGGAACATTTCAATGACTAAGGTAGACAAGATCTATTTGTATGGCAGATGTTAATCAAAATCAACAAATGCCTTATCAGGATATATATTCAATTCACATTCAAATAAATAATTTGAATACACTGTTTTTCATAATCATGATATTTTGAATGAAACAGTTATTGAATAACAGGTGCACTTCCAGTGTAAAATATTTTTAGTCTTGGTATACGCGGTATATGCAAAAAAATAAGTAAGTTTCGCTTTCTGTTCGTTTGATGTGCATTTCGGAAAACGTCTAATATAATTTAAATTTCTGTCAAATACTGAATGATTATGGAAACTGAACCATGCAGTGGTTTGGAGTATTTACTGCAGCCGTTGATTTTTGAGATATTTATGAGTGTACTTCAGTTTTACGAAAATATAAGTGATGAATAAATTAGGCAATTTAGTCTTCTGTATGGCTATATTCTTTATATAAAAGCGTGCTTTTAAGATGTTATGTCAATTTGTAATAGAAACTATTAACTTAAAGTGCAAATTACGTTTTATCTTATACATTGTTCCTCTTGAATAACCTCAATACTCACAGGTAACTAGCATTTTAAAGAAGTCATATGAAAACATGTTTATTGCGAGCTCTGTTAGGATTTCCGATATTTCCTAACGAAAGAATCCATTCTATACTCACTTTTAAACCGTCAGTTGCTTCAGGTTTAAAAAAAACTCAATCTCTTATTACTTTCTCATACAAAACAAAATACTTACTTTTCTTTTGTAGACGATATTGAATGTGAAATAATGAATGTAATCACAAATCCCAAACCCTTTGAGCAACCTTTCGATTATATTAAAAACCAAAGTGAAGTCAACGAGTATTGGAATTCACTATTCAGTCTTACATCAAATGATAATGAAAATGATCAAGTTATTCCACAGGTATCAGATATGAAGACAACAACAATAACAACCGATACTAAGCTAACACATTTGAATCTGGTTACACTCAAGTTATACCAATCAATTTTGTACGAATATTTACTCAATGTGAAGCAGTCTTCAAATCAGAATGATGAAGATTTGGACAGTTCATGTGAACACAATATTGATGGTAGATATTATCAAATGAACCATTATATATTTTTTTTATTTTAATACTTTTCTAATTTAAACTTTATTCACAAAACTATTGGTCACTTTTTTCACTTATTTGGGTAGCACTGTTTCAATTAAAGGTTTCACGGATGAGGATTTAAAAAGTCTGACTGGAAAAGGAAAACAGACATTCATTAATCCAAAAGTATGGAAATCTGCCACAGTCATCACAGAGAACAGGATTCGGGTTTTCAGTATTAATGTTTAATCTGTGCTTCTATATGGTTCAAAAACTTGGCGTGTCACCAAAAGCATATCCAACAGGCTACAGACTTTCATCAACAGTTGTCTTCGTTTATTCTGAAAATCAGATGTCCAGAAAGGATAGGCAACAAGGAAATTAGGCAAACAAACAACCAACCAAGACTTATTGTACATCAAATATGGAGAAAAAAGGAAATGGATCTGACATACGCTTAGAAGACAGTTAAATATCGCGCGGCAGACCATTGAGTAGAACCTAGAGGCAACATAGAGGGAATCATGTGAAAAGATAAGAGATTATGGACAATCATGGGGCCAGCCGGGGACTGTAAAAAACAGGATTAAAGTGTAGATATGCAGCCAAGGAGCTGCGTTCCACAAGAGAAATATATATAAACATGATTCCTATTAGTAACAAATGAATTTACGCTTCACGTCAAGGAACATACAGACGTATATTGGTGATGTCAGTTAATTTGAGGTACAGGATATGATATTCACTTAAATTACTGTTCCAGCCATATATACACAATTAAAAATTGACACAACTAACTGACGGTATGATTATTTGTGAATATCTTAAACAATATATTTATCACAGTGTGAGAATATTTTGTTAGAAGTATTGTTTTAACTGAAGTCCATGTTCTTTGTAATGCACAGGGGATAAAAGTAATGCTATCGTCAGCTTTGCTTGAAATTAATCCAACACAGAAGGCAGATTTATCAGTTTCTGATAAACTTTACCATTCACGTTTCAGACCACAACAGTTATTAGCGCATACTACTAGTTTCATATATCTTCAGTCTACGGAATGAAGCGAAAATACCCTGTGTTGTATACTGTAATTCTTTAGAAAACGTAATAGGTCTTGAAATTTAAAGGAAACAAGTAGCCTTCAGCATGTAGACTTTGTAAGCAGTTTAGCGAGTAATCACCTAATTTCTGAGTTTTAGACTCATATTCAAGTACAATATCTCCTTCAAAGTGTACATTGAATAGACTGCTTTTATTTTGCGTCTAATGCTGGAGACTTTATTGTGCCTTTTAAAATCTCGAAGGCCTATAGGAGATTTGTAAAATATCAGTTTCTAGATAGATAGACAATAGCTACTGCACTCGAAATCTTTTTAAAACGTCAAGGTGATCTAACTGATTAATGTGTAGTTGTATATAACAAATCTTGCATGAATTATTTCTGTTAATTTATAGTCTCTGTAGAACAAGAATACCAGAGTCAATTTTCAATAAGAGATCTATTGACACCTCTGAAGCCAATACCATACTATTCACAAGATGCAGAATATTGGTTCCAACGCTTTATATCACTTCAACTTTACCTATATCAAATGAGCGAAACAACTGAAGGTGAATCTCTGGACAGCCTGCTGACTAACACTAAATTCACTTGGTGTCATCAGCAAACGGATGGAAAAATTGATGAAAATCAAATTCACTCTATCGTTTCACCATACAGCATACATTTTGAACCTAAAACAGAAGTTATGTTAAGAAATGAGAAAAATCGCAGAGCGATTAAACCAATACAACGGTTATTGTTGCAAACGTTAGACAACTTTGAAGGTGATAATTCTTTCAGTAAACATCTATGGCTCCTTATCAGTTACTGTCCACATAATATGAAACTGTGAGTAACTTATACAGTTTGATTCTTTTTGGATTTTAAACATTTAAAGAAGAGGGTAGATTTACGTTAACTTCAGCCGTATGTTTTGTAACAGTTACATACTCTAACACCTGTAGTTTTTTAAAAACTTAAGGAGGGGAGTATCTTCAAATTCTAACGAGTATTCACAGGAGTTTCTTGATTAGTTACTCTTCACGTTCTACGTAACTGTGTCCACAAATTCTATATAATAAGTGAGCGTTTATCAGTACCAGTAGGATTTCTATAGATCATTAAAATCAGAAATACAATCTTATTTATAATTATAAATAGGAGTGTCAGCTTTTAAGTCCCAGAATAAACCGACAAATTGATGGGTGAAAGGTTCTATTTATTTTATGTGAAACCATCAGAGATTTTTTTAAAATGAAACTTGCCTGGAATTTCTAATGTTCGCTCAGTACTCCATAATTGTTAAACTGTATGTTCAGATCTTGGTTTTAGTTCAGATAAAACAGTATTGTTATTAGATGGTTGAAAGGCACTCTACGGGAATCCTTTCACATATACTTCGTCCAGGGTTGCACTTGTCTGCAACCTTGCAAAGAAATGGGTTCTTTGCTGACGAATGCCGCCTAGCACGAAACCTAGATCCAAGGCTCCTTATCAATTGCTTCTGACCATCTAATAACAAAAAGTCACAGTGAATCATGATGGCGTGGTAGCCACATTGGAAACTTGACTGACAGAATTTAGTCTGCTTCAAACAAAGGACTAGACACATTACACTAGTTACTAACTAGTGTCCGATCGAAGAAAACAGTATTGTATTGTTTGTACAAATATAAGATTACATGGTTTAAATCAAGCAGTTCAAGAAACTTTATTCAAAACAAATGATTACTGGCTAAAATAAATGACAAAATACCCAAATCTCAAGGTCAATATTTAATATGAATTTTTACTCTGTGATTATAATGTCCATGTGAATGTCTTTCGCATAAATGAAGGAATGGAAAATAAGTTAGAGTCTATGCTGTTAAATACGTAGGCGTAGAGATTGATAAGTCGGGAAAATGTGTTTAGGTAAATAAAGAATGTAAATTTATAGCAATAATGTATGATGCAATAAAATGGTTAGGAACTTCCAGCTTCCGAAAGAAATCAGGGTAGAAAAGTTTCCTACACTTATTCATTCTACTCATGTAGTTCCTATATCTCCTCCTATTCGTCAAGTATACACGAAAAGTATTCTTTTTCAAAAGATCTTTCCCAGCTTTAAGGTGATTAAATTAAATATCAAGGCAAACTTCGTCACGAACTAACATCAAATAAAGAACCATCAAGAACCTAACAGAACTGAACAGATGATTTATACTTGACGAAATGTATACAAACGCAACACCTAAGTTAAACTAAATAATAGTCAGATGTGATTTAAATACATTTTCATAAGTTAGATTTCATAAATATCCAGACTGGGAAGGTTATGGATTTCTCAGAATAATTTGAACACTAAGTCAGTTTGAATCACGAAAAAATAACCCCCAAAAAATCGCAGCATCTTTAAAAACAAAGCTTTTTTGAACGTTTCGCTGTGTAAGTCACAGCTACTTCAGCGAAAGTACTCAGACTATATTAAGTATCAAAATATATAGTCAAAAATTATATAAACTGTAGTGAATTCCCTTGAAGCTCACTTATCGGTAGACATTTGTACCAGTAGAAAAATATATACAGTCATCCCATATTCGTAATGATTGATGTCAAATTATCATATATACACACTTATCTGTATGAGTATGCATATATTGTTTGTTATATGGGAAGTAGATCAGTTCATATGTGAAAAACACGACAACATTTTACAGAGGTCACAACAAATGATCGAACAATATTTTCATCCGTTTTGCTTCATTAGAATCTCTTAGAGGGAAAAGAACAAGAAGTTCAGCAAAGATATCTTTTCGGCAATTGCACTCTCAAAAGTTGTGCATTTGCATTTGTATACATAAGTTTACGTAGATATAGTTGTTATTTTTTAATTCCACTTAGTAACGAAGATGATTAAGGGTCATATTAGATTTCAACTTGATGTGAAAGTTTGAAGGTGTGAATATAGATTACAAGGGGCTAGGAAAAATTATACAGGATCAGAAAATAGGTTTGAACTATTAAGATGTGAATAGGATGAGCATGGGAACAAGTTGAAAAAATTATAATTTCAAAACTCTCCTATTGTTTGCATTCAATATGGTTAAAACATGCAAGGTTTCAGAGGTCAGTCTTTCCTTATTTGAATGAAAGCCTTTTCCTAGGATTTTGACATTGTGGAAACTGATCTTATGTCCACTTTCTATCACACACATTGCCATAACTCATCTTTTTTAAGACTCTTTAGTTCTATTTCGTTTCTAGACCGGCATTTTGTACCCAGTTTGTGCCTATTTTACCTTGAATAAGATTATTAAACAAACGAAGGTTATTCATGATAAATTTGATCAGCATAAGAAAGAATAATGGTATAGCTCCATGGTAAATAGTGTGAATTGAAAATTACTTGATTTATTGGGATTGCAAAAACAAAAATTATCAATATATGTGAATTGGTTGAGGTAGTTTCATACTTTTCTTAATAGTAACACAAATAATAAAGAATGGCGTCAAAAGAAATTTGGTTTGCGTTAACCAAAGTAAAGCTTTTACACAGTTTTGAAGAAATAAAAAGGAAACAAAATTAAGGAAGACCTAGCGATTGAGTCTTATTTAGCCTATGGATATATAGAAGATGACTATTTAGGCTATACCACATTACCTGTATGCATACATGACAGTAAGCAGTTTCGTATTGCGCAGCACGAAATGTTCAATTTAAGTTTTACTTTAAAATATTAGACGCAGATTTAATAACCGTAGGTACACAATTAAATGTACCCTAAATGAATGACTGGTTTTCGGTTCAGTGACATTTTGACAACACTTGCCGATGGTTTCCATAACAACTAGACGGTAGTAAATGTATTTAATCAAGTAATGCATTTAATTTCTGTTTACTATGAGACGAAAAAATAAGTCCTTGTTGCCACTAAGTTAATCAGAGGAAATCCTAATTCTAGAAAGCCTTTCATATATCTCCACTGAATTGAGAATAAGATGAGGTTTTCATAACTCTGTTGAAGAGTATTCACGTGTAACAAACAAATAACATTTCAGATAAACCAAATAAGTGGATAATGGTTTCAAAGTTCAACATATTTTGCTTTTTTTTGTAAATTTCATTTTCTCAGTGAAGTTCAACAGTATCAAAATCGTTTAATTTTACTTAATGACAAAGAAGAATTTTTCAAGGCTATTGAGCAGTTCAACACACTGATGATAAAATATTCTACAGCTAATATTCTTTCAGATAAAGAAAAAGCAGAGGTGAATATCAAAAGCACATCAGTGAAAACCTCTTCAGTTAAACGAACAGAAAAGCAAATTGATCCAGACTCTGCAAACCAGTTTAGCCAGGAGTTGCAAGTGAGTATACATTCGAATCATAACAGAAGATTCTTTATTTTCTCTGACTGTAGAACGTTTTAGAACATCCTGTAGTAATCTAAGCATGAACTAATACCTAAGATGGTAGTGAAGGAATTGAATGGAATACCTGAAACATTCAGAATAATAAGAAATCGGAATAATGCATTTAGTGCACATTTAATGACAGCCATATGCAAACTTCCCTTACCTGTAAAAAAAGAAACTTTAAGCTGCATTTCTGTAATGTGGCCAAAAATCATGATCAGCTTAATGAAAATATATGATATATGACCTGTGAACAAATGTATGACTACTCAAGAAAACACTCTACCTAAGTATTTGAGAAAGAAGCTTTTTCCTTTCTTCTGCTCTTAAAGTAGAATACATTAACCAAATTATTGGAAAATTTCCTTTCTTCTCTTAGGTTGTTGTAGAAAGAAAAGGAAAGTGCTATACCACCAAAGAACCACCACCCTCAGCTTTCTCAGAAGTTTGGTTGTAGGGATTTGGTTTATTTCAAGTTTGACTGCGGATTAACATGAGTTGGTGAACCAATGAAAACCACGGAATACTGGACAGCTATTTCGTCACAGTTTGCAACTCTCAGGCTGTACTCACACATTCGATCACGTACACAAAACCGTCCAGTTACAAGCCAAACTTGCAAACCATTCAGCTACTGGAATCCGATTGAATACCCCATACCCTCCAACTTCTACTGATTCGTGATTTTAGCGTGACCACCAGTTAATGTCATCGGGGGGGGAGACTATTTATCCTGACTATCAACTGGATAGACCCCACTGGTCACGACTTCTCACTAGAACTCCAGTCGACTTTTTCTTGCTGCTAGTCACTTTTGAGCGTCAGATTAGTTTGCAAGAGTTTGTTTGTGGGGATTCGATTTGTTTCATGTTTGATCACGGATCGATATCAGTTAGAGAAATATTGAAAACCAGGGAGTACTAGACAACTGTTTGCTATAAATACAAAAACGTACTTGAAATATAAATGCTTAGTTTTAGAATGATTCTGTAACATACCAATAATCTTTCTTCAAACTGGTAGGGTTAACATTTTATTTGAAAAATAATTTTTGCGGAATGCCAAAGATTTGAATAGACTATTTTTATACGGCTAATAATATACTCTTCACAGTAACTTTAATTCGTGGAGAGATATTTGTCGATCTATAAGCAGTTAAGGAATTACATTCAAAGGCACATTACCTTCAATACCTACATTACAAAGAGAAGTTTTCTATGAAGGTAAACTGATTGACGTTATGAGGGACAATTCGATTATACCTAACACTAATTATTTTTACTGTTGCCGCTGCTGCCTGAAATATTTTAGTGTGTTTAAGTGGGCTGGATACTGTAATCTCAGACATATAACCTTAAGAGTTTAAATGCACAGGTGTTTATAGCTACAAAAATAGATTAAAATGAACATGGTAAGAATTTTTGTAAACAATTTATTTGTTTGTTTAATTTTATAGAATGAATTTGGTTTATGGTTAGAAAAATTCGATACAATTCTTCGATCTGGGAAGATTTTGAATACTAATACTTCACTTGATAAAGGATCCATACAGTTTGGTTACATTAATCCTAATGTTTCATTACCAACAGTAAGTTGTATGCTAAACTTTACTGCAAAAGTAAAATTACATATGAGTTGATCTTTAGAAGGTGATAAATACAAACAATCGTTGTAAAAATTAACATAGTCTCTCTTTGTAAATACTACTGTATATTTTCAGACTGTAAGCATTATTCAGTTTTGTCTGACATCCTGTTCTTTCCCTAATATCCAAGGAATTCAATTTCTTACTATAATCAATATTGAAGGTTCGGCTAGAACTTCTACACTGCTTTTTACACGGAGTCCTCCCGAAGAAATTCAGGATTTAGGTGTTTAACATTCGAATGAGCATCAAATATTGAGGATAGCAGAGGTTTGAAAAAATATAAAACTTCAGTAGAATACTTTTAGATTCCATCACCATTTTCAGGTGTTGTCATCTGAATTCATCTTTATTCTTAAATAAATTTACGCATTTTGAAATTTTATTTATTATTAAGGCATTTTGAAATAGGGTCAGTCAAATAAGTAGTATAATTCAACGTTTAGAATGCAGATTACGTTGACCTGATTTGATTTATTTGTCTGATTCACTGATACAGCTGATAAGGACTCCATTCATTTAAGATGAATTTTTGATGTCTACTTTCTGTAAATTGTCACAAAAATGTAAATACTCCCATTTTCTTTTTCGATTAATAAAACATATTGGCAACAAAAGTTAATACTGTCAACGATTATATTTCTTGTTAAAGTGATTTTTAATGCTCCACCTTTTTTTAATTTTGAAACATGCCTTGCAGATTCAACCAAGTGATGATGTTTTCAACGTTTTGAAGGAAATAATTTCATGGAGATATTTTGGTGGCACCATAGTGAAATCAAAGTTGAAGGAATATATTTTAATGTTATATCGTTTTAATGAATGAATACGATTCACAACATACTCAATGGATTCATCATCATAGGAACAATTCAATTAGCTCGTTTTGCATTACAAAATTTAATAAATTATCTATTTATATCTGACTTTTTAAAATCTTATTTTTTTTATAATTATATTTCACTTCAGTAGTATGGTACTGGATACTTTTGAAAACTTCTAGATATTAAATCATTATAGCTCGAAGTGAATGTGTGCGACCGGTGATGAAGTCGTCTGTAGAGAAAATTTAAAAATGTCTAAACTTCTTACACAAATCAAAAGCATGACTGATATACTGCAAAACATGAATAATGAAGTGGGAATTCCTAAACTTCATATGAATACTGATCAGAGAAAAGTCTCAGATTCTGGAAAGACAGGTTCGAAATTTTCTCATAAGTACAAATTACCGAGATGCCTAACCGCTTAGCAAATGAATGATCGAAAAATGAAAATATCTCCCGAAAGAATTCATCTGGCTTCGATTAAATATACAGCGAATGTTAAAGCTACATGATAGAAAAAATTATCTGACTGGTATTCATTAAACAACAGATTGAGTGAAGAAATATATCCCCTTTCAATTAGTTCCTCATCATCAGCTCTACACTAATATATGGCATATATTTCATCAAAATATTTTACCAATCAAGTGGTTATTTTAGTTAATATATTTAGGGTATGTGGTCGGGGTAGGGGAATTAAGAGGTTAAAAATCATCAAAACAATTAACTAACAAGATATCTAAGTTTATGAAGGAGGGATGATAATTAATTACGGAATTCAAGATAAGCTGATTCTTTTGAACACATAGATTTGGCTTGTTCAGATGAATTTCGATTGCCTCTGCTGTATGTAAAAGTTGTACTCGTAAACCATTGGAGAGGTTGAGTGATATACAGAGAGATTCTAAGATTACATTTCGATGGTGATGTCAATAGCGAGATCTTATCACAACGTCTGAGAAGGGCCTTCAATAGGACTTTCTATACAGCTGAGCTATGTTGTGTATTCACTAGCCAACCAATACTGAGTTCAAGAAATATAGGCAAATTGCCTTGTTCTACCTCTTCCATGTGTATTTACCAGTTTCACTGCTCGTGCGGAGTTAGTTACAATGGGCGTACGATCAGGCGAGTTCATCATCGAATTTCTGAACACCTCCCATCTTGGTTTTACAAGGGTCCAAATAAAGCTATATGCAACTCAGTACTAGCTCATCTCGTCGATATTGGACATCAAATCGACTCTAACAAAGCTCTTAAAATTATTTATCGTATATCACCCAACCTCTCCAATGGTCTACGAGTACAACTTTTACATACAGCAGAGGCAATCGGAATTCATCTGAACTAGTCAAATCTATGTGTTCAAAAGAAATTTGTACAGCCTCTTTCTTCTCCATACTAATATATATTACGATTTTTAAAATCGATGTTTCTCTTCCCCTTGCAAATATCTCTTGACTTTTTTTTTAAATTCTAGCTAGTTCTATTAACTTGTTTGTATTTTCCGTAATTCTTCTGAGTCATCCTATTCTTCTTGGGCATCATTGCTATTTTACCAATTTCTTGATTATGTAATAACTTGTTGCTGACTCCTAAGAATCAACTTATCTTGAATTCCGTAATTAATTATCATCCCTCCCTTATAAGCTTAGATATCTTGTTACTAACATCTATTAGTTAATTGTTTTGATGATTTTTAACCTCTTAATTCCCCTACCCCGACCACATACCTTAAACGTATTAACTAAAATAACCACTTGATTGGTAAAATATTTTGATGAAATATATGCCATATATTAGTGTAGAGCTGATGATGAGGAACTAATTGAAAGGGGATATATTTCTTCACTCAATCTGTTGTTTTTTCCAAATACGTAAATATAAACCTAGAAATGACTGAGTTTTATTAGCTTCATTCTGGGTTGCTTCAATAACTATTTCTCATACAATATAACCATAAAACAGTGAAGTAAATTTTCTTACTTGACATGTCGTTGTATTTGTACCGCATCCATCACATTCTTGTTGAGATTTTATTAAATAATCTGAGCCATTTGAAATTTTTCATATCAACCATATACAGCTTCCGGAATCTGCTTTCTTCAACTTTTCAAAGTACTTCACTGTCAGTCCCACTATAAGATAATGAGACGAAGACGATAATAAGTATCCAGACGATAGGTGTTATTAATTTCCTGGAATAATTAGAGCTCCGAGTCAGACTGATTCATTATTATGGGTAATTTTATATTAGAAAGGAAGGGTAATAAACAGTAGAAAACCTTGGCAATTCGTCCTCACAAAAAATCTGTGGACATTAGTTTAAAACTAATGTAATGGTTATCGTCATAAAATGTAATAACCTTTTCTGACATTACAAATAGCAAACAATGAAATTCTAAAAATTTTGAATTTTGGGATGGCTACAATTTGCAGCGTTATTCTTGTTGTAGCTGTGATTATAAAGGGAAAAATGTAAACTTGTTTCCATTTTTGAACTGGGGAAATTTAGAAAACCATTTATGACTGATAAACCACAGCTTTGAGATAATTATCTATGGGGAAAAAGCAGTCTAGACAGCTTCACGTGCTTATCTCAAGAGAACAACAGTATCTTAAGGCGCCTGCCTACTTGATGTCAGGAAAAAGGACGTCTCACTGAATAACAATTTTTTGTTTGAAAAAACCAAAGACCTAGTTTGTGACAAAACTTGCTTTTTCACTAAAGCGTATAAATTTATTAGTTGAATGTTGTGTTTGAGACATGAATATCATTTAGAAGAGTACATTTTGGATATTACTGAGTTTCTATTAATGTGACCTTAATGATGAGAGACACCAATTGTTAAAGTATATAATAGTGCTCATTGATTTCTGAAAACTCAGAATTAAAATAGCTGCTAAGTAATTATGTCTCCTCATAACTCACTTGTTTGATTCGTACTGATTTCAGTAAAATAGTGCTAAATGTTCAGTCCCTGATCTGCTCGTCAAATATCTTTGATTTCAACAGTATTTTCATCACTGTTATTCTGTATCAATTTACACTAATTGAAGGCGCAGTAGTAGTTCCATTTTCTGTTAATACAGCTTTAGTCAATCAAGAGAACAGCTGAACCTTATAAAACCAACCTTTTAGGTGGTAACACACCAACTTTCTGATTATAGACTGGAGAATAGATGCTGTCGTCTGTCGTAGATAACGGGAACAGATTTGTAATGCAGGCGTATCAACTTCGTCGTCTATCTTCTTTGAACGCAATAGGAATAAAAAGCGACAATAATTTTTGTTTACTTAGGCTAGTTAGCACAGTGGCTTCATAGAACTGCCAACTAATGATTTTTTCTGACATTAAGGAGTTATGTATTACGCTTCTAATATATCGTTTTAAAATAGTGCGTCGGTTGCACAGTGGCCGACCATGCACATGGTTCGAGGTTCGATCCCCCACCGACGCACACCCGATATCTACGGTCCGCCTGCAATATTTGGGCTACCGATATCCATGCTGAAAATTCCATACTTGTACTGAAAATACGGTGTGGCATCAAGCTGTAACCAAAATATAAAAATATAATATAAATATGTTTTAAAATAGTGCTGACTCAAGACAAAACCGTCTGAAGTTTTCCTTTGCTGAGTTTGTAGGTTTATCCTGGAAAAAAACTTGGTAACTAATTCACGTGGAGAATGATGATTGTGTTTTTAGGTGATGCCCAATCCTTTGAGTTCTAATTTGAAACTAATAGTCATGATAGCCTATCAAGTAAGTGAAATATCAGGGAGTTCATAAATGGTCGTAGTGTTAGATGAAACTCATGAACATTAGAAAGCGTACAGTCTTTGGATTTTTAATTCTAACCTGTAGGTATGATGAATATTTGTAGGTAATACTTTTATTACATTGAAATAATAGAGTTATTATTTTCTATAGGATGATTCAACAAGAAGAGTTGTCTAGTTTCAGCAGTGACATCAGAGAATTACGGGATATAAATCCAAACTAACATTTAATCTTATTCTTTTGCTCTCCGAGTGAAACATAGGGGCTCAGGCTTCAACCTGGAAGTTTCAGTAATAGTTCAGTATTCTATATGGGATGAGGTTACCAGCCCCGCACCGAATCTTCCCTCTTTACTGAGTGCACTACCGCCTAAGCGAGACTTAGGAGGGAGTCGGCGGGGCACAAAACTTCGGATCACATGCTTGGTTGGTGAGCACACTACCTCACAACCACTGACGCAAGGAAATAAATTCAAAGGCCAGCATCTATAGAAGTTCTGCGTAATTTCAACGACATCCTGAAATCAGGCCACCCAACCTAATATCAACTAAAAAGGTTTAGTTTTGTTTCATTTATGAAGAGAAGTGTTCAACAAGTAGATCAAGGAATCTGAGTGGTAATGAATTCTATGGAATGTATTTTTTTCTCTAAAACTTGTTTTCAAATCATTTTAGGCTAATAAAAATACAGATGCCAATATAAATAGTATTGAATGTGAATTCAAAACTTAAATTAACAAAGGATTGCACTTTAGGATGTCACTGTGAACTTCTGACCTAAACTGAAACTAAAATCCTATTGAAAAATCTGTCGGGAAACATTTTTATTTAAATTATAGGGTTTTCTGAGGATTTGGATCAATTTCAGTGCAGATTTCGGTCACGAAATAACATCAATTATAGGTCAAAGTAAACCAAAGAGCTTCTCGGGAGCTGTTTATGTTTATTTTGACAGTGCTTTAAATAACGGAATTGCTTCACTTCAGACTAAGTAACAAGGATCTTAAACATGTTTAAGCAAAATATGCACACAAGGCTAACTATCATGAAATACACGCAAATCCAGCTATTCATTTATGGGAATGTAGTTTTCCTTTTTCACGTGGTTGCATTCTCTGATCTGGGTGATTTTACAGCAAAATAAATTTATTGATAAATTTATTTATAGGGATTTGATTTGTTTCAAGTTTGACTGCGGATTGACATGAGTTAGTAAACTCTAACTTCTACCGATTCGTTATTTTAGTGTGACCATGAGTTAATGTCTTCGGGGGGGGCGAGTA